AGTCGAAGGGGATAGGTCCACGGTGGCCGCCGCCGAAGACGTGCAGGTACCAGGCCTCGATCTTCTGCTTCTGAGCCTCGGTCAAGCCGGCGAACTGGAGGGGAGCGGCGTGCTGCTGCGCGTGGTGCATAGCAGTCTGGTAGTTGTCGCGAGGGCTACCGCGGTCGAAGGTGCTGAAGTGGTGGCGGTACTCCGTACCGGATGAGTATGCTCGAGGAGCAAACAGACCAGTGCTACGAGCACTATCGATGGAGCGCTGCAACTTCGAAATGTTGTCGGGGCGGGGGAGAGGCAGCTCGGTACCGGCGTGGCGAATGGAGTTCATCAACTCGGCCTCATCCTGAGTGATAAACAGGCGCGGGCGGCAGTAAGGCGTCTCCTGCATGACAGAGGAGTTCCTGAACTTCTGCACAAGCGCCTCGCGTCCCTGGATTGTCGCATACGAGATCCCGAACTTCTTGTCGGAGATGAAACCAGGCCAGTACCGGAACTCCATCTCGAGGAGCATCAGCATGCCGCCGACGTCCGTGAAGTTGATGAAAGCGTAGCCGACGTTGGCACACTTCTTGAAGTCGATGCGGAGGTACACGAAGTCGTACGTTCCGAAGCAGATCTGATCCAGGATGTTCTTGAGTGTCATCTGTCAAAAGAGTTAGCAAGGCTTCGGAACAGACGTGGAAGGAAAGACTTACCCAGTCGCAGTTTGCCGGGATGTTGCGGAGCATGACAGTGGTGCGCACATCGCTGCCGTCGAGGATGCGCTCGCGGCGGACACGGTTGTGCTCATCCTGGGGGTCTTCGTTGCGGAATTGACCGCGGTACGGGCGACGAGTATCGCCGCGATGTTGGAAGCGGTGAGAGCCCAGCGGACGCTCATCGACCCAGTCACCGACGTTGATGGTGGACCAGAAGTACGATCTCTGTGAGAACGTTAGCAAGAACAGAAGAGTTGGAGGTGAGGTGCTTACATCAGCACCGAAGCCATAGACAGGCGTGCGGCGAAGAGACTGGATGGCGCGCTGTGCGGCGTCGATGGAATCGAACTCGATCCGGAAGATCAGACGCATCTCATCGTGAACAGTGTCGACGTGGACGACGTTGCGGACGATACCGAACTCCCTCGCGATGAGGTCGACTTGGTGCTTGATGTCCTCGTAGTCCTCAGCAGTGAACTCCCAAACGGCGTGCTCGGGGTTCGCGTCGATGAACATTGACAAGAACATCTGGCCTTCGAACGGTTGGATATCGCGGATATCCTTGGGCATGGAGCGCGCGAGGTCGTCCATAGTTGCGTAATGAGTGGCGAAGCCGGCCTGGATGAGTAGGTCCCGAGCTTCGATGGCGTCGGAAAGGCTGTCGAATCGAATGAAGATAGCGGCGTGAGGATCCTGAAGGAAGATGGCCGAGTGCTTGAAGCAGTCGTACTGCAAGAGGTTAGTGTGAAGCATGGTGGAGGAAGGGGACGACACTTACGCGCTTCATCTGGTTCTGCACCAGGAACTTGAGATGCTCTGCATCATGGCCGCCTTCGACGTACAGGTAGCGAGAGACGAAGGTGTTGTTGAACTCATCGAGTTCATCGACGAAGGCACCCTCGACATACGCCGGCGGCTCCGGAAGAAATTTCTTGGCGGCCTGCTTCCCAATGGGGATAGCAGTAAGTTGACGACGGTGGTTGGGCTTGCGCTCGACATCGGGGGAGTATACGGTTGGGTTGGTACCGTCAAAGGGGGATGAGGGAGGACCGTTGGCCGACGAGGAGTTGGGTGAAGGGTGAGACATCTTTGGATGTTGAGGAAGGGTCTTGATGTTGTACAAGAGGTGGATGTAAAGAAGGCAAGAGATGGATGATTGGCAAAGCTCAAGCAAGGAGTCTGTCAATATCAGGTGGGGATGGGGATGTGGGTGGGTGTGAGTGGGCAAGAGATGGAAGGCGCGGGGGAAGGGCTGTTTATATACTGGCACTAGCGCCGAAGCTCCGGAGGTCAGGTGACGGCAGTATCTGAGGCCAGAGAACTCACCGTTCGGATTGGGAGCAAAAGAGTCAGAGAGAAGGTCGTGGTGAGGAAGTCGCGGCGAGGCCTGGCGGAGGAACTTGAAGGAAGCGATTCGGATATCCCACAACTCCAGGAGAACCACCAACCGGACGGGGCCAGACGAGCATGAGGAGATAGCGCTCGACGAGCTCTACAACTTCTGTTTTTCAGGCATACGAGGCATCAATGGAGTTGGTGATGCATCGCAGCTGCAAGACGAAGCCTGAGGTTGAAGTTCCATCCCTCAACCGCTTTTGCACGTTATCTCGAGGACCCACTCACCGGTTCTAGCGTCGTCCAGGACGTCTGGCCGCGTAATAGCGGGCACCGGAGTGGCAGGACGACAGGAGTGGCAGGAGCGTGAAGGAGCGCCGGAGATGTGAAAGTGCGTGAGAATGGTGCAAGAAGAAGCCTGTGCAGCGAGTTGGAAGATGGATGGGAGTGCTGTGAGCTGCTTAAATGTCTACGTGGCATTGCCAAATCTCCCACTCATCCACGTGGAAGTGAGAGAAATTGCCAGATTTCATTGACCGAAAGCTGGGGAACCCCCTCAGACACGCCTTGGAAGCGTGTTGGTGGATCTCACGATGTCCGCGGGGAGCTCATGAGGCCGGCACATGCACATTGTCAGCTGGAAGCGTGTGCAACGAGCGGGGGGCGATCAAGAGCATGATTCCCAGACGCGTAAGCTTCGCCGCGTCATTCTGTTTGTTGAGGCAGCAGTGGCTGCTTGTGGCAGGCAGGGAACAAACACGGTCATTCTAGGAAGGCACGCTGAAGCGGGGCGGAGAACAACTCCAAAGCTGAACATCATGGACGCGGTGAGACTCCAGAAGGCGTGGCATCGGGAACCAGCTTCTTGGGAAACAACACGTCACCCCTGAGATTGAGCAGCTTCTCATGAATCCAGAGGCCGCGGGGATGGTGCTGAGCCCGCTGGACAGGCAGGCGCGATTCCAAGCATGCGGACAGCTTCACAGGGGCGCGGGCATGACCATTTGCATGATTGGGAATAAAGACCGCCACGGGAAGGACGAGAAGATCACCAGTAGAGACTCAGCATTCTGTGGTGACCGCTGCTCTTGGGCACGCTCCGTGGCTGCCAAAACGGCAGGAGCTACAATTCGCGACTCCAGGCGTGCAGACAGCTTCACGGGGGTGCGGACGTGATCACTTGCATTTCCGAGACTGAAAGCGACCTTGAGACCAACTAGAGACTCATCAAGAGAAACTCCGCATTACGTAGTAACCTATGTTGTCGAGCGCGCTTCGTGACGGCTAAAGGGGCGGAGCCTGCCGATTCGCGACTTCAGGATTGCGGCCAGCTTCTAGGGGGCGCAGACATCGTCACTTGCATTGTTCGGAACGAAGAATGTCTCCAAGCCAAGCTCGAGCTCGCCAGCAGAAACCCAGCATTGCATGTGGGCTGTGCTGTAGAAAGCGGTCGGCGACTGCTTCAAGGGCAGAGGCCACAGGTTCGCGACTCACGGCAGGAGCGACGACAGCGAGGGGCAGAGCAACATTCGGGCACGTAGACTGAGCGGTAACATCTGCTGAACATTCACGAGAAAAGCGCTGCTCGAATGGCGACCCTCAACATGCTCTGCGAAAAGGAGACTTGAAGACCCTCGCGACCTCCGCGACAACGACTCGAGCGGCCAGGGCGGATGTGAACAACTTCAGGCTCTACTTTGGCATCACAAGAAGCATTCAGCCACTCATGAACATCCCATGACGGACGCGGACCGCTCGTCGCGAGGCCGCGCGAATGGCCTCTTCAAGGCCCAGGGTCTGGCGGGCTGGCGGGCTGGCAGACCGCGCGACGAGAACATCACAACCTTTGCGGCAGGCAGGCACGAGCGACTTCAAGATGTAGACCAGGAGCGTCTACTACTCCAGGTCTGTAGCTACTGCATTGCCCCTTTCCCTCAGACCAGTTCCGTCATGTTAGCTGTCCGCAGCCAAAGCCTCAACTCCACAAGGCAGGTCAGGGAGGCCGCGCGACAGGACCATCACCACCCTCATCAGAAGACTATGCAACTCAGGAAGCCAGCACGTATACGGAGCGCGTGAATTGGCCCTGGCCTGTAGCTCATGGACTGCCCCTTTCCCGGTAGAGCCGTGCCTTCCATGTCCGTTGCCCATTGCCTGTCAACCTTTTCCGCATCTCCTCAACCTCAGTATCAGTCCAACTCTACGCCGCCCGTCGCATAATAGCCTAGAGCTGCTGCCATTGGCGTCGGGGGCGCATGGCAAGAAGGATCGTCAGCCTCGTCGCTGGCGGACAGGGCGCTGCCTCCTCCGCTGTCCGACTCGACTGCGACATACCCTCGAATCAAGGGCTGGCAATTGAGTACAAGAACCTTCTCATTGTCCCACCGTATAGTCTCCTTCCCATTGTGTGCCTCCGCATGCCCCTGTTGTGCCTCCACCTTGTATACTCGGTCTCGTCGTACGGTCGGGGCGCTTGCGGCAGCGGCTTGAGGCGTATACGATCGTAGGTTAGGAGGACGACGGCGGTGTCTCGAGGGAGGGCGGTAGCTACATCGCGCTGTAGAAGGGCTCGTTGAAAGGCGTCGCCGTAATGAGGGCGTCGGGGTAAAGTATGTACTTCACCCTCGTCGATGCATACCCCACATCGGATACCCTACACCAAAACATTAGCTCGCCTCCCCCTCAATAGCAGCAGGCACTCCCCCCAGCCTCGCTGAATAACGCCGTCACCGTCACTACGCGTAAAGCGCTCAACAATAGCGAAGCCAGACCGTCGCCAAACGCAGTCTTGGCACCCCCAGATCGCCCACACAAAAGCTCAAAACCCAGCTTCCCCAACACCCCAAACCAGCACCAACAAGCCCATCACCACCATCACAACAAGCTCAATTACTACCACCACCACTTTTACTACCACAAAACCACAAAACCACCTTCCCTCCTCACCCCCGCATCTCCATCAACACAAAGATGGAAAACTTCACCATCAACCTCTCCAACCTCCACGTCCCCTCCCTCGCGGAGTTCCCGCACTTGCCGCCCGCCTCCGACTCGGCGGCGCAGAAGCGCCTCTACTGGTTCTTCCGCGGCCTCGAGGAGATGGCGAGCAAGCTGTACGAGCGCATCGAGATGTACCAGCATCTCGAAGAGACGCTGGACGAGGAGGAGGAGGCGGAGCTCGAGGAGCTGAACAAGGGGGTTCTCGTGGTGTTGGCTGCGGTTAATTGGGCGGGCAGACTGTATGGTGGGGAGGGGTATGAGGAGGCGGTTTGATGTTGTAAGTTTTGTTGTGGGTGACTTGAATTGGTGCGGTTTTGCTAATTCGTGTTCAGGGATTTGGGGATTTTGGGCGGGATTGGTGGCCGGGCGGGCGTGAGAGGGGAAGAGGCGTTTAGGAATGTGTTTTGATACCCAGGTTTTTTTTTGGTGGGCGTTTGGGCTGGTGGTGGGATTGAGGGTGGGGGGTTTGTAGATGCGGCAGCCATGATGAGCATAAGTCCGCGAATGAACTTGATTACTCTTGCATTTTTACTTGTTATTTATGTCGTGTACCAGGGATGTGTTCAACGTTTTTGTGTTGGCCTATCTCTCGACCTCCGCCTCTACGTAGTCATCATGTACTATTGACATACTCGAGAACACCAGTCTGAGGACACCATGTATTCGACGGCATGCTTCATAGTCCTACGAAGACGCCTAGATCTCACTCTGACTACCTCCCCGCGACACGATCCACAAACTACTGTCACATCAAAATACATCGAAGGCATACAGGCCTCACTCAAACTTTCACACAACATCAACCCAATTCAGACAAACATCAATGTCCATAGCCATATACTAGGGTATCACAATCCAAACGCCTCCTAGTTCCCTCAAACCCCCAAATTCACATACCCATCTCCAACAAAACCCCAGCTTACTTCCTGCCCTCCCCCTCCCCCTCAAACATCCACCTATCATCCTCCAAACTAGCCACCTTCTTCTTGAGACTACTCTTCAACGCAGCCCGAATCTCTTCTTCCACAGCAACAGCATCCCACTGTGCGTTGGTCTTGCCGTACAGTTGAATCATTTCGTTTTCTTGCTCTGTTCACATGCACATGTCAGCATTCTCCCCATACCATCTCACACCAGTCTCCGTCTTCCCGTAGAGAGAATGGGAATGGGATCAACATACCACCCTCCTCATCCCCCTCACTACCCACGCCCATTTCCCTGTACACAGGCGCCGGCGCTTTGACAATGTATTCTCCGATGTCGTCGCGCTCGACGAACTCGTCTTCGGTGGGTTGCATGAAGATATCTTGTTCTATTTCGCGGCTGTCGGGGCGGATGGAGGGTGCGGCTTGGTTCTGGCGGCGCGCGGGTTGTTGTTGCGGTTGTGGCTGTTGTTGCTGGGCGGTGTGGGCGGCGAAGATGTTGCGGCGGGTTGTTGGGGGGAGGCGGATTGCGCGGTTGTCCATGGTGGGTTGGTTGTATGGGGATATGAGGTAGAGCGGGTGTTTTGTTCGGAGAGGTGTAGGGCGGGATGGGGGGTGAGGTCGATGTTGATGGTGTTTTGGGGTTGGTGGGATGGATGGCGCGCCGTAGCTAGTCAGGTACAAGCGTTTGGTGGGGCGGCTGGGGTTTGGCATTGCGACACTCCCGCGGCGAAACCTGAGGCGCGTCTTCGTGACACCGACAGCAAACAACGGAATCATGGCGGGCTCAACACCAGCTGCAGCTTCTACGGATCTTCCTGCGCAATCGCCAAGCCCACCGGCGGATACAGAAGATCGATCGCCGCCCCGGAAACGACCCAGAACTCGCGCGCCTCCAAAAGCAGCTGCTCCAGCCTCAACTCCGGCGACGAATACAGAAATGCCGACCGCTAAGAGCGCGGCTCCGGGGCCTGATACTCCAGTTCACCGCTTCTCGATACAGCCTGTCAATCGCTTCCGCGGCGCGTCGGCCAAGATAAAGCGCCCTCGTGAAGTCGCACACTTCTCCTACGATGACAACCACGAGTACCAGCATGATGAGTCGGGCATCAACTACTACATACCACCTCCAATGGGCGCAGATCTGAAGGAGGGCTTCGAGACGTTCGAACACTATGAAGACAAGGAAGATCCCCATCTGGACAGTCTGCTAAGGGCGCTCATGGAAGACAAGACGGGCAACGAGGAAGTCAAAGCCGACTTCATGACCTGGCGAGGCATGATGACCAAGGTATGTTGAAGCAGGCCGGCACAAGACATAGCAAGGTAAGCGAAACCAGCTTTCTTACCTTGCTGCTGCTTTTCCTCCCGATCAATATCTAACACCCCCCAGATCATGACCGCCCCCTTCGACAACTTCGCCGAATTCAGCATGTTCGCAACCCGCCACAACAACACCATCTACATCGAAGAAGACTTCCCCTCCCGAGCCGCCGACCGCGCAGCAGAAAGCACGCGCCCACCTCCCCGCCACCAGCATCCCGACCAGCAATCGCGCGAAATGATGACATACTGGGGTTACAAATTTGAGAAACTCGCTCTCATACCCACGCTACCTCAAGACACACCACGGCAAGAGATTGAACGGTCCCAGAAAGACGTCGTGTCAAACCACGCACAACACTGCTCCATCGTCCACACATCCTTCGGGCCCCATAGCCTCATACTAGGCGGCGAAGTCGACGGCCTCCTCGCGCCCAAACCCACGAACCCGGATGAGCAGGTGCAATGGGTCGAACTCAAAACAAGCGAAGAACTTCCTCCCCCTCGCCAACAACAACACCGCGACATCCTGAAATTCGAACGCAAGCTCCTCAAATTCTGGGCCCAGTCGTTCTTGCTCGGCGTACCTAAGATCACCGTGGGCTTTCGGAGTAAAGCAGGCATTCTGAGGAGTCTGCAGACATTCAACACGCATGAGATACCGGGTATGGTAAGACAGGGGACGGGGTGCTGGGATGGCAATGTGTGTATCAATTTTGCGACGGAGTTTCTGGGATGGCTGAAAGGGGTCGTCGTGGGGGAGGGGGTGTGGAGTGTTGTGCTGAGGAAGAAGAGTGGGGTTGTGGAGGTGAGGAGGGTGGGTGATGGGACGGGGGATATTGTGAGTAAGGAGTTTAAAGTGTTCAAGAGTAAGGGGTCTGAAGTTGGGCAGGGCGGTGGAGAGGAAGGCGAGGCGCAAAAGGATGGAGATGCTGCAGAGCATGTTGTGATATCTTGAATGCAAGTATCGGCTGTGGCTCTAAGAGACGTTACGTGGTTATGCTACCGTCCAATCTGAAAGGCGAGGTTGCCCATCCCATCACATGCAACAACGAAACCATGGTTGGCATGAGATATCCACCAGCACACAACCACCATGATCCCAAACTTTAGCTTTGACTTTTCCCTTTTGATTCACAACCAGCCTGCCTCGATCCCCCAATACACACTAGAACCCATCTATCCCTCACCCACATCCAGAAATCTCCAACACCAGACTACGACATCATCTCCAACCTGCATACTTTATCTCAGACAACCCCAACATACACCCCAAACCCCCACAATGCCACCCACCCAAATCACCTCCTTACGGCGTACCCGTACCCGTACCCGTCGCTTCATCCCCACCCCCTGCATCCACCCCGAAGCCCGGCTACTCAACCATGATATTCTGCAGCAAATCGTGGAGAAGCCATCATCAGCCCTCAGCATCGTACATGAAATGGCACAGCGAGGCGATAGGGCGGACATCAACCAAGATCGTCCCCAGCAAACCCAGCACACCCATCCAGATCAACAGCTTGGGCAAATCGACAAACTGTTCGAACGGTGGGATAGAGCGGTGGAGACGCAAAGGGAGTTGATGAGGTGGCTCAACGGCGTTAAGATCGAGAGGGAGAGGGAGAGGGAGAGGGGAGAGGCTAGACGGGTGTATGATGAGGTGGCAAGTGAGTGGGAGGAGTTGGGCGGGGTTTATGGGGAAGAAGGGGGTTGGTGTGTTTTGGGTGAGGGGGAGGGTTGGGTGGAGGTGAGGTGGAGGGGGAGGAGATGGGGGGAGATGTGAGGGATGGTATTGTTGTATACTCATTCTCCTACTACTTCCAAGGTTCTTCGCCCTCCAGCTCATCGATGAACACCTCATCATCCATAGGCTCCCCTTGCACCCATCGCGCAGCCAATCGTCCTGTTTCTTCTCCTACTCTCTGCGTCCTACTAGCGGGAACGACATTCATCCCATGATTCGCATCTGTCACAACTACAAGCTGCGATTGCGCCGTCAGCTTATCCCTCGTTTCGTTCAGCGTATCGATTGGGCACATGGCGTCTTCGTCGCCGCTGATGAAAAGTATGCGGACGCTCTTTGGTAGGTCGAGCAGGATTTGGTCGCGCATCTCGTCTTTGGGCCCGAGGAGTGGGTAGGAAACAAGTATGAGCTGTATGCTCAGGTCTTCTCTTTCCTTATCATCTAGCGAGGCGAGATGTTCGCTAGCAGCAATGACAGCGGCGCGCGCACCCATGCTTCGTCCACCTAGTAATAATGTCTTCGATCCAGCCGTGTCCTCTTTTGTTCTCTTTAGTGCAGTCGATTGACTGGAGTTCAGCTCATCAATACATGCGTGGAAGCCCTTGGTCCGCGCTTTGAGATTCATCGAGCCTTGGAAAGCGAGGACGGTTTGAGAGGAGGAGTATCCGGTGCAGAAGTTTACTACGGCGTCGGCTGACAGTGTGCCGCCTGCGCCGTGGGTGAATATTAGGGTTGGCGATGGGCTGGATGGCGATGTTGTGGGTGTGTACTGGTGACATTCGATTGGTTTCTTGACGAGATCGTGCGTGATCGTGAGGTTTGTACGATTCTGAGGTGCTGAGTCACTCTCTTCATCGGGTTGCGCGTCTGCCTCTGGTTTCGCGTCCTTTGGTGAGCGCTTCTTAGAATTAGCCGCCTGTCGTCCTTTCGACGCCTTTGGTTTCGCCTCAGGTGGTTCACTTGTCGAGTCTGGGAAGTTTTCCGAATTTCCTGTGTTTGTTCTGGCAGATGAGCGCGTAACACGCCTCTTGGGATCGGGTGTCGACGCCGAATCAGAGGTCTTTTGGCGTTTTGGTGGCATGTTCGCGGAGGCTTGAAGTTGCGCACTTGTTCAATTGCGACGTTTTGGATATCGCTATCAATTCAGCACTATTGCCGTCGATCATAAGAAAGATCGGGCGAGGTTTAGTTGACGAGGGCGGTCGTGTCTGCCTCAGGGCTTCGATCGCGCGTTGGAAGTCGCTGTGACGTAAGCCACGTTCAGCCTCCCAGCCACTTCCCAGCCACCAGCCACAACCCTTTAGATGCGCTAGTATCCTGTGATCTCAACTCTGCAACCGGGGCACCTCTCGTGGCTGCATTCTGTGCAAATGTTTTGCCAGAGAAGGACTGGACCGTTCCTACAGCAGTGGCAATACCAGACATATTTGTCTTGATATGAGCTTGAAGCGTATGAACTGTATGAAGTTGTCACTGCAGGCAAAGTAGCCGCGGAGCTTCCCCCATTGTCACCGGCATATGCTAGTTTACACATCTCCTTTTTGTGATCACTGGATCCGCATTGTGTGCAAATCGTGTTATCGGACGGACCAGATGATGCTCCAGCCTCATGCTCTGACAGTCGGGTGGATGCTGTGTCATTCGCTGCAGTTTCCGAACTTGCGATTCCCGTATCATGTATCACGCGCATGATGGCATTAATCTCCGAATTGCTTTCTGGTAATCTTGCTGCTTGCGCGTCGAGAACATGTTTGACGTCATCAAGAATGTCGCAAAGAGGCACCATGTAAACATCTCCGAGTGCGTCATCCGCGACCACTTGCCCGAGGACAGTGATTGTGCTGCCTGTCTCTTCACTTGAACGGGTTGCCGATGCGCTTGGTGGCCGCATGCTGCTCACTGGCTCGGTCGATTCAGTTGATACCCAGGTGCCCGAGGTGCCTGCTGGTATCCCTACACTTCGTTAACAAGTTCGCCCAAGCTAAGGGTTGACCACTTACTCTGAGTGTTCCGCGTTGTAATCGTGTGAACTCGTACAAAGTCGTTACCATAGGACAGAATCGCAAACGAAGGAAGACGGGACAGCTGTCCGACGAACGGAGGTTGAAGATTCATCTCAGCCTTTTCGTCCACCAAAACGGTGCACGAGTTAGGGTTGCCTAAGATATATCTTTCGAAAGCTTGCCCATCTTGGTAACCGCTGCCAGGTTCGTCCGATATTGCCTCCAACAAAGCCCAATCGCGATCGCATGCTCGGGTGGAGAAGGACGCTGACGCGACGTCGGCGGTGCTGGACCACTCAATGGATTCCCGAGAGTCAGTGGGGAGGTTGTATGTGGCATTTCGCATTGTCGGGCTCTCCGCTGATTCCAGAACTTGTAAGGGTACAAACGTAGTGAGATCGGGAAAGAGATTTCGCTCTGCGTTGAGCTCTTCGTTGGCCTGCTCGGTATCGATCTCTTCCTCGAGATCGTCTTGAACAATGCTATGGCCAGCAGTCAAGCCATACATTGATACAACCCCATTCTTGTCGGTTACAACAATATAACCTCCCATTGTAGCGTAACGAGTTCCGCCAATACCGTCAATCTTGAAAGGGATATTCCTATATCTCCGATGCCCATTGCCCATGTGCCCCATTTTGATAAAGACTGGGCAGAGATGCTGCGATGTAGTCGGCTGTATCGGCTTGCCTACAACAATTACATCGAATGATGCTGGGCCAACCTTGCCAGGTTGACAGAGGCGTCTGGGGGTATCTCTTCGGAAATATTTCTCAACCAAGTCGCTAACACAGGCTGGACAGAACACGACGATGTAAGGTTTGGCTGAGTTTTCATCCGTTCCCAAGACTAGTAGACGTATGGCGAAGGGTCGAAAGTTTTTCTTGGATTTGCGCAGGCTTTGCAGAAGCTCACCTTTCAGGCGTTTGGTGACGTCCTCGAAATATAGGCTGGTCTGCTCGTCGACATCTTTCTCGAATCGCGTCAAGCCCCTGATTGTGTCAACAGGTTGGCTAGTAGTAGTAGTGGTATTCGTGGCGTCCAGGGAATTTGTTGTGCGAGAAGGGGTCTGCATGCTGTACACGGGAAGACGAGAATGTCAACAAAATCAAGGGTCGAAGAAGATCACTACTTCTGTGAACCTGAGCACACAATACATGAGATACATTACCGGTAAGAAGCGAGGGATCAAATTCCCCCGGTGTTGATGCATCAGCGCCCAGATCTGCCCGAAAGAGTGCCTTGTCAGCGAAAGCTCCAATGAATTGAAGAACAGCCATGTTGGTCTGCATGTGTGGCGGCCAATCATGCAAGCACTCAGCCACGCGTGAGCCTGGCAGGCTGAACTTCAAGAAAAAGTGGCAGCTCCAAGGCAGCTCTCACGCTCGAACACGATACATGCTCCAGTCTCATCCTCCGATGGCAGCAGCTCCCACGACACCGTTCTTGTTGGACTCGGTGAATACCGAACAACTGCAGAAGCTGGGTAAGGTTATGTGGAACTGGAACCTTTGTAGCACATGCAATGGGGCTGCGACGTGCAGTCAGCAAGAATGTCCATGGAGGGGCGCAATACGATTTGACACATTCTGGAATCGGTACAGGGCCCTGACCGAGCAATATGCGCCAGAAGGTACCACGTTCTCGTGTCCAGCTTTGTCATCCCATGATGACCTTTTCCGCCTCATCCAGAGGATCAGAGACAACCCAGATCTGGACCGACAGCGCATTATCAATTCTCACTTTTCGGTCGGAAATTCGAACGGGAAACTTTGTACAAATGCCGTGGATCAGGACCGAGCGATGAATATAGCAGCTAGTGTTATGTTCATGACCAATTGTGGAACATCGCAGGATTGTGCGGATTTCCTGGAGGAAGGCGGCCCATCTATCTCCTGGCGGAGCGACGTGACTGTCACAAACTTCGTTTGCGAAGCGTTCTCACGTACGAGGCCTGCCCTTTTAGGGAGTAATCTAGGCGACACCAGACTGTCTGACTTCCTTGGATCGCTGGCTGCGAGCAAACTTGTGAAGGCTGGATTCAAGCTCGAACCGACTGATGATCTGCGCAGCCATTTGACAATGGATTACAGTGGGAAGAGAAAGGTCATCCGAATTTTCCACTGTTCTGCAGTACTGAAAGAGATGTTGTTGGCAAGTCGACCAGACGGAAGTCGCTGCTTGGTTCCACGATCACTCGCCCTGGAGGTCCTGGACATACTGTACAACATCCTTTTCCCCGACGACCGGTCGGGTGTATACATCACAAAATGCGGCTTCGATCCAGATGTGCTGCGATACGACGTGTCCCGATACCGGCGGAAAGACGACCCTGAGGTTGACCACACCTATTTTGGTAACCGACTCAAGGAGATCTACGACGAGGTGCAGAACCCGACTCCTCGCCATGACTGGGCAAATTGGTTTCATCGACACAGTGCGCAGCGGTACATGATGATGGCAACAATGATCGGAGTCTTCATCGCGGTAATCATCGGAATCCTTGGCCTCGGAATCTCGGGTTTCCAGGCTTACGTGTCGTACCAGCAGTGGAAGCATCCTGTAAAGGATGCATGAATGGAGACGTATGTTTCGAACGTGGAGCAGGCGGTGACGGATGCGTAGAGACTTTCCCCGATGGATTTCGGTGATGGCACGATGCCGAAAGACAGAGAAGAGAAATGGGATGGTGGGGAAAAATGGGTGGCAGGGACAAACAAGCGAGACGGCAGCCGCGCCCGCGCACGCGACGCGGCTCCTCGAGATAGCACGAACATCGTACTACTTGCGATTCACGCACGACAACGACTCACATACTGCATGCATCAGGCAGCAGTGCGTACGATACTTCCCTTGAGTGACAGGTATACTGAGTAGCTTCTATCTTTTTATTCTGACTCGGGAGCCGGTCGCGACCCAATGCTATGACAGTTCCGCGAAACGACCGAGGACCATCAGATGTATAGTCATCCTCATTTTACGAATTGTCGGTCAATGACAAATGTCACAGTGTTGCCAGAAATCCGGTTTGACTTTGTTGAAACTTCCTCAATCATGCGAGGTATCACTGATCAGCTCTTGGCCATCACATCTGGGCATCACCAAAGACACGAAGCCGGTTTCCTATGGTACTCTGTAGGGCTAGGTACGGTACTTTGTGAAAAGAAACTCTTCGTATTCGTCTCCACGATGCCCGTTAAAGCAAGATGTTTCATGGCGATCTCAATAGAGGAATGCAAAGTCCCGAAGCGGAGTCTCCATTACTCGCCGGCTTCGTATCGCACCCTCGAGTCGCCCTCCAGCTCTATGCAACGCAAACTTCCATATCCATAGGCGGGATAAAGACCCGACGAGTAGGAAGTCTACCCGCAAAGGTGACTCGCAGCGATGCGCCGGCACGAACAATTTACGTCTCAACTGCCATTGCCAAGCACTAGCACATAGGCGTCCAACTCCTCCCTTCCAACAACCCGTGCCATCTTCCCTCAATGTATATACATTTATCCGTCCAAAGGATCAAGATCTCACTCGGATCTATTTCAAGCCACCCCGTCCTGCACAGCATTCTCGCACAGAATGCCTGGTTCAGTAATCCCTTTGTTAACCCACAATGGCCCTTGCTGCTCGCTTCGCTACCATCACTACTGATTGGCCCGGCTACCACAGCTCGCGAATCGAGATCCTTTCATCGATGTGCAATGCAGATAATGATAACGGCAGACGGGGCGTTGCGGCACCGGCTAGTCGAGATGTGATAGCGATGATGTGATGATGGTTGTTGTTCATTAACGGAGGGTTCCCCGGCTAGCTGGGTTGGACTGCGCAGCGGCATGTGATGTTATGCCGTGTCTTTTAGCGTAGGAATGCGGCGTAGTGATGATTTTGTGATCATTCTTGAGGTGAGAATTCCATGTTCGGGTCGTTAAGAAGTCGATGTCTAGGATAGCCATGTAGTTATCGTGTTTCGAGGTTAGGTTTGCAGGAATAGTCGTACGATTGCGCAGCCCAAGCCGAACCGTTGAGAACAACGTATGATAATGCACCGGGTGGATGCATGCGATTTGTTGAGTGAGGTCATTGAAGTGCAGTGTTGGATAATGTTATTGATTTATTTGATTCGTCGCGCGTATCCGCAGTGTTTAGGGTTAAGTGGTTGCTACTATGGAGCACTAGCTACATGCATCGGGTTATAGTTGTACAAGGGTATGGCGGTAATGGAGAAGCAGAACAACGCGAACAAGAAGAGATTCATGCAATGCAGTGCGACTAGGTATCGTAGACGACCATGCGGAATAGAGGAAATAAGGTGCTTTTGGTATTAGAGCCACCACAAGAGACAGAATGAATGAAACACGTATACAGAATTCCAGTAACATAAACAAGGAGAGCGAAAGATCCAACTCCGACTGTATCCATAAGGAAAGTGGGTAACCAGTTACCGCGGGGTGCCAACATGCAGGTATTGAACAAATACCGCCTTCGCCAAAGGAAATGTCGCTAAGGGGGTATCGCAACCAAATCATCCTCCATGAATGTCTCGTATATGCTCTGTAGATCGTGGGTATATCTCGGTAAATGTGTGAAATGATGCAATGCGACGACACCCTAATAACCATGGGGCGCGTTAGATGTGTACTTTTGCTCGGGGGCGTACTTCTGGTCCGTCACGTAATAAGAGTGAGGATGGGGGGCCGCAGGGAATTGCGGCGCGTTGAATGGCTGCACGGCCACAGGCGCTGAAGCCCTCCTTTGTTGGTCGGGTTGCGATCCGGGGACCTGAGCGTGATGAGGACCGACTGGCGAGTCTTGGGAAGGCAAGGCATGAGCGTCGAAGCCCGCGGACTGAGGCAGAGCGTACGGAGCTGGTTGTGGCGTCTGGTATGCCGAGGTGGGCTGAGTATACGAGGTCGCTGATGTGGCCGACGGAGGGTCGAAAGAGTAGTGACGCGCAGACTGTGGTTGCGGCGCGTAGTGCGAGGATGGAGCAGCGTGTGAGGAGTACTGAGAGCTTGCGGAATGTGGGGAAGAATATTGCTGGGGAGATGGCGGATGCGTGTAGTGCTGCGACGGAGGCTGCTGGACGGAGTATTGATGAGCCGGTTGGTGGGCCGAGAATGGAGGCGCGGCATAATGTTGGGGGCTGTGGTGGCTAGAGCCATACTGGGACACCTGAGGCCCATGCCAGTAGTCGGGAACTGTTAGGTGGAGAGGAGCATGTGTCTGGAGCTGGCCCTGTGCGCCGATTGACTGGGTAACAGCTCCAATAACGTGGTGCTGGACATGGCTGGGCTGGATGTGGTGTGGGTAGCCAGCTACCAGGGGCATGTCTTTGCTCTCTTCATCTTCAAGGCTGACCTTCCAGCCATTCAGAAGCTCCGGTCTTGGCTGAATGTCGGCTAGCTTTGGGTCCTGGAATGGTCGCTTCAACTTCCCGCTGACGACGTCCTCGAGACTGTAGTAGGAGATGACGTGGTGGTGGGTACCCTGGTACTTGACTGAGATAGTCTTCTTCATCAGACCGCCCTCCTTGAACTCATAGCTGTCGATGAGGGAGCCACAGAATCGTCGCTGTTGGTCGGGCGTCAAGCTTTGGGCGAAGTTGGCGTAAACCTTGTTCATGGAGTCGACATCGCCTGG